AACAAATTTTGGATGAACAATATCATTAATAAAATTAACGATGATATTCTCTCACATTATATCTCCAATATTATTAGTGTTAATATTTCAGGAAAATTTTTTATTTTCTCTACTTACAAAGAATCATGATGGTTTTCAGAATCATATCATTAATACTTAAGATTTGTTTTGTGAGTCCATTCAAAAATTCCACTCTCTGGGAACCAGCACTTAGCATAATGGCTATGTCTCTAGACTCCCATGTAGTTGAAAGTGGTTTGAGTCCTGGACCCAGCGGCTTAAACTCATGCCGGGTATGTGTGCGTGCATGCCCAAGATCCTGAGAGGAGAATGGAGGAGAAGGTATTGTGGTGTGGCCATCCCCCCCGGGGGGTGATTTCTCGCTTTCTATCTCTCTGTCTCTCTCTGTCTTTCTGGTGAGCGCACATCAAAAACCTCTCCAAAAAAAAAAAAAGGAAATAAAAATTCCATTCTCTGCAAAGAATATGAATTTGTAAGATTTATTTCACTATCTTATATTGCCTTGACTGTAAATTCCAGAAGACTGCTATAATTTATGGTATTGGTTGAAATTTTACTTCTCTCCCTTTCTTTCAAGGAAATAACCATAGTTTTTATAATTTAATAAAATGCCTACAATCCTTTGATATACATTTTTATATACATTTTAATATCGTGTTACCTTGTACTTTTTATTCCTAGGTACCATAGTGTTTTTTTTTTAAAGGTACAAATAAGTATTTAGTAATTAATCATCTAGAAAAAAATAAGAATCTTCAGGCCTGTCTTCATATTCCCAAGTAAATTTCAAGTGTAAAATGTGAAAACAGATCATATGAACTATAAGAAGAAAACATAAATAAATATATAGAAGAGATATATTTAAATTTTATTAATTCCATTATTTATTTATTTATTTTAGGTTTTTGCCTTAGGGAAAGTACACTTACCAGAGAGAGAGAGAGAGATTTGGGGTGGGGCATTGCCTCTCCACAATCATTCTCCTCTATTCTCATTCTGGGATTTTGGGCAGTCACACATGCACTCCCAGTTTGATCTTCAAGTAGCCAGGTCCAGGACTCAAACTATGATTGGTCATGTGGGAACCTAATGCCTTAACCACCCTACCACCTGCTGGCCCCTAAAATTTTATTTTTAATGAATAGGTAAACATTACATATATATACCCTTATTGGGTCTGATATGTTTTGGTGTTTGTATACATTATGGAATGCCTAAATCAAGCTATTTACACATAGGTACATATAACCTTAGCAGGAGTTCTTCTGAACATAAGACTTTGGCAGAAAAGAGCAAAAAGAAAATTAGTAATTGGACCACAATTTAAACATTCTTACAGAAAATATGCTATGCTGAGAATTAGGTTGGAAAATATACTCTACTTGGCTGACAAAAGTCAACTTCTTCAATATGCTAAATCTTGATTTTTAAATCCAGGAAAATTAATACACTTCTGGAAAAAGGACATAAAATATTGATAATTTATGAAAGGCCTTGTAAAAAGAGTAGAAAGCATATTTTAGTAATATTAGCTTTAAGCTGATTTAGGATAGAGAAACAAGAGGCAAATAACTAAGAAGGCAATTTTAAAAATAACTAAAATGACTTCCATACAAGTCCTGGTGGGGTCCTTATTACAAGAATGAGAGGAATTTTCCTCCTTATTTACTGATTTATTTTTAGTTTTGCTATAGGGAATATGCCCTTTCTGGGATGAGAGAGAGAGAGAGAGAGAGAAAGAAAGTGGGAAATTACTCCCTGTGGGAAATTACTCCCTGGGTGAGGAGGATAGCCACACTGTAGTCCCCTCTCCTCCACTCTCTTTCTAGCACTCTCACACATATGCACCTAGCATGATTTTCAACTTGCCAGGTCCAGAATTTGAACTGCTCAGTAAGCCATGTAGAATCCAGCATCTTAACCTCCATGCCACCTGTTGGCCCAAGAGAGGAATTTCCCTTTAAGAGCTAGGACACTTCAAAAAATTAGCAAATACATGGACTTAAAGGACAAGTTTATTTTGGTGCAAAATTTTTAGAAATCAATGCAGTTTTGTTTTTCCAAGTTAGACATTTCCATGAACTTTTGGAAGACACACTTGGTCTCTCTCTTAAAAAAAAAATAATAATAGATTTTTTTAAAATGAAAATATGAGGGCTTAATAATCCAAAACACATATCTATCTGCAAGAGCACTGTAAATTTTTACAGATTCAACTGCCTCCTGGAAAAAGGTTAAAGATCACCAGGAACCCATAAAAGTTGGAGTAAACCATGGAACAGATTATTTATTTATTTATTTTTGTGTCAAAGCAAAGGATACTTTATTTAGAAAAAGTTAAAGTGCTTTCCTGAGAGGTAGGAGTGGGCCGAGAGCAAGTGAGAAAGTGTGGCTTTAGGGCCCTGGCAGTTACATTCTGTGAGGTTTATCATTTTTTTAAAGAGATTTTTGCTATAGGGCATGTCTACTTATCAAGAGACAGAGTTAGAAAAACAGAAAGTGGGAAAGTACCCCCCCCACCCTGGGGGATGGTCATGCCACAATCCCCTATCCTTCATTTTCCTTTCGAAATTTTGGGCAAGCTCCCATATGCCCATTTATTTATTTATTTATTATCATAATCTTTTAAAAATTTTTTTATTAAATTTATTTCTTCTTGTATATACATTCAATCACATTATTTAGTTTAAAATGTGAACATTTCAATATGTGAACATTTCTCCTCAGTCCCGTTGATCAAAATATCTTCAACTGATAACAC